GCGATGTAGGTCCGTGCATAAAATTGAGGATACTACATTTGAAGTACTACCATTTGATTGTACATGACAGTAACAGAGTAGGGTCCGAGTTGATTGCTTACTCTGACCATATAGCGAATCTTGTTTATCGTATTAATAATTAAAAAGACCGTTTTGTCTTTAACTTCACGAGTGGGTATTAATAAATGTTCCCTCGAGTTTCTGTTCGTAAATTGGAGAAGTTCTCGGATTAAGTGAATAAGTATTTTATATCGCTTTTTGGGAGAAACATAATCATTTTGTACTGCTTTTATGATTATATACTTCAAAAAAGGCCCCGAGTGCGAGGTTGTTAATAATGCACCACAGCTTTCGAAGTAACAAAATATTTCAAAATGAGGTGGTCCCTTTCCAAAGCTTTGGATATCAAACACAAAGATGCGATGAGCTAGTTTATCATAATTATAGCGCGATTTAAATTTTAGGAACAGCGCCCTCTCTCGAGCTGTTTTTCATCTGTGTATATGATTATGTACATATTCAGAATCACGTATCGATGCTGGACATATAGACAAAATGATAATATAATATTTTGACTGGCCTGTTACCCTTGATGTTAGTAATCCTGACTGCAAAGCAGAGGTCAAACTCAAAAATATCTTTATTTCATTAAAAAAAATTTGATTGATTTTTTATGGCTTTTATGTAGAATCTTAATTCATAGATCAACACACACAATAGCAACAATCTCTCTTTTGTCAAATAGTAAGCATAATATATTTAATAAAAATTAAACTTATACAAAATCCATGACATGCCTGTGCCGATCTACAACCGCCCGTTTCCAAGTGGTTGAGCCTTATGAGGGAAGGCAAACCCATGACCACTCTTTTGCAATTTACAGATAGGTACAATGACATCATTAAATACACCATAACATTGTTTGGATGTGTGCCAGTATGTCCGTTATTAAGGATTAAAAGGTGACAATGAAGAGAAAACAAGATTAAGAAAAAAACTAATAAAAGAAAAAAATAAAGGGAAACATAAAAAATAGAAATAACTAATAATAAAAAACAAACTAGCCCACGTCACATTATTACTTAAGAAATAGCCTGCGCTGAAGTAAGTGGTGTGGTGTAAGTGGTGGTCGGTTAGCGGCACTCAGTTCCGACTCACTGGAACTAGCGGCACTCAGTTCCGACCCACTGGAACTAGCGGCACTCAGTTCCGACTCACTGGAACTACTCACTACTGGCACTGGCACGCTCCACAACAGGGCATAGACAGCTGACTCATCATATATCGACCTCCGGTCTTGGAGGGGAGTGATGTGGCGACTCCCACATACATCATCAGCCTATCGCAGTCCACTGCTGGACATAGGCCTCTCCCATTGCACGCCACTTAGATCGATTTTGGGCTTCTCGCATCCAGCTCCTGCCAGCCATCTTGCGCAAATTGTCACTCCACCTGGCCTGTGGCCGTCCTACACTACGTTTACCGAGACGCGGTCTCCACTCAAAAACTCGTTTTCCCCAACGGTTGTCGGTTCTGCGGCTAATATGGCCAGCCCACTGCCACTTCAGCTTGCTGATCCGGTAGGCTATGTCGGTGACCTTGGTTCTCTGCCGGATCACCTCATTTCTGATGCGATCCCTTAGAGAAACGCCGAGCATAGCCCTTTCCATAGCACGTTGAGCGACTTTGAACTTGTGGACCAGCCGTACCGTAAGTGTCCACGTTTCAGCTCCGTATGTCATGACGGGTAGGACGCACTCATTAAAGACTTTCGTCTTAAGGCACTGTGGGATCGACGATGAGAAGACTCGACGTAGCTTCCCAAACGCTGCCCAACCCAACCGAATTCTACTGTTCACCTCATCCTCGAAGTTGTTTCTACCTAACTGCAATGTTTGCCCGAGGTCCACATAATTTTGAACAACTTCGAGAACGGCACCGTGTACCGCAATCGGTTCCGGTAGTACATGTTCGTTGAACATGACCTTGGTTTTATTCAAGTTCATCCGTAGGCCGATGCGTACAGAAGCGTCAGCTAGGTCATTCAGCATTTGCTGTAGGTCCTGCAACGTCTCTGCCATGATGACGATGTCGTCTGCAAATCGCAAGTGAGTGACTCCCACATACAAAGAAACATACTACAGCGCCATCTAATGAAGTCACACCGAACTACGGAGTAACTACTAAAATAAGAATTGCTAATCCTGTATCGCGATATAAAGAATTCCTAGCCGATTAGCATATATACAATATACCAACATCAACCGTTGGGCCGCGGCCCGCCAGGCATGATCACCTCGCCTGGTCGGAGGATCCTCCCTTTGTGTTGGAGGGACATGACACCCGTTCCTCCACACAAATAATTGTGACGGATTAGGAATATGGAGTGTCACCACCCCTGTTCAACCCGTGGGTGTCGTATGAGGCGACTAAGGCAGATAACTAAACAGGACAACTTCAAAAATAAGGAAAACTTGACCTACACCCTATACCAACCCGTCTGGTCAGCGTGGTATAGTAGGCCAAAACCTTCTTTCTAAGGAGAGGCCTATATTCAGCAGTGGACTATTACAGGCTGTTGATGGTGTGATTTGTTCTGTATTTGGGTGTTATTTGTTATTCAGGACTACCTCGGTAGTGAAGTGGTGGTGCATTCGACTGCTGTGCTGTGGTCATAGGTTCGATTCCGGGGTTGGACCAAATGTTTGTATGATCTGCAAATATTTGTTTCGGAGTTTGACTGTTTTCTATGTATAATATGTATATATTTACAAAACGAAAGTATTTAAGAATTGTATCAGTCAATCTAGCTTTCATACTACAATCTCTGCTTAGTTTGAAACTAGATGGCGTTGTGTGTCAGATGTCCGAAAACATTATTATATTATAACTAGGCAGAACAACTTCAAAGAGAAAGAAAACTTGACACACACCCTATACCAAAACGTCTGGCCCAGCGTGGTTTATAAGGCCATAACCTCAATACTAAGTGTAATGTTTAATACTGAGTAACGTCTAGTTTATATCTTGTAGTCCATTGCTTAACATACAATATTTGTGTTTAGTGAAGAGGTTGTATATTAGCTACGCTATCACAGACTAGGTGTCATACCCATCTTGCTACTATCAGAATGTTCTCGATATAAAAAACGTACGTCAGTCAGATTCTATCCGGTGTTACCTCCACACAAAATTTCATCAAAATTGATCCACCCGTTTAATGCTGAAGAAGTAACAAACATACTGACACACTCATTCACAAATTTTCGCATTTACATGATAGCGTGATGGTCTGAGCACCAGATTTTGTTCCAACTAGCAAAACATTTAACAATTGACCTTCATGCTTAGCCAACCATCGATATATCACAAAAAGACCTAACTGAAATATTTTTTTCCAGATTAGCACCGAAGTTAAATCCAAACAAAGCATTTCGTACGAACAATAAAAATGAATGCAAAAACCATTGAAAATCACTGGCAATATATAACCCGGTCAATTTTTTCTACCGCAACTGGCCCTCAGTACCCGGATAATCCCCGCCTGGTCATGTTTGACACGGCTGCCAAAACAAACATGGCTGCCATCCGCCATTATAGTACGTTTGTTTAGGGTAGGTTACACATTATTATGGAGTTATTTTTTGTTATCATATCGTTAAAATGGCAGCGTAATGTGGAGTATAAATTACAGATCTTTGTTAGGTTTTTCGAGAACAATCTACCAAGAAGTTGATAGCAAAAGAAAGTCTTAAAATCTGTAAAGATGAGGACTTTATTACTTTAAAGAGGCTTGTAATATTTGTAAACTGAAGTTACATAATAGTTACTAATGAAATAAAGTTTGCTTATTAAATTCTTGTTTGAAAAAAGTCATTACTAATTTTTAAACGACTTCAATAACACGAAAGAGGAGGTTCTCACTGCTGTACTGTATTTTTTTTTAATAAAAAAATCTGTACTTACACATTTTTGGCTCTCGCATAATAAAGGAAAGCCGTTTATTGTTTACCGGGCTTGTGAATTGGCTTTATGTCGTTACTAACGATTAGGTAACCTGGTGTTAAAAAAAAAACGGATCAACAGTGAATCTTACGAGTTAACGCATACTATATTAAGACAAACTTAAGGTAAACCATTAAAACGTTTCTATTCAGTTTTTCTTTTTTTATTAAATAAGACAACTTCCCATAAGAATATATCCCGTATCGAGATGTACTTTACAAGCATACATAATAATAAGAATAACATTACTAGTCCTAAATTTAGTTTTAAGGTTTTAAAATTCATAGCTTTAAAACCTGGAACTTACGCTGTATTTGTTTAATTTGAAGTTGGTCTTAAAACATACAAAATAACTAATTAAAACCTGTTCAAGCTTATCGAGTCCATCTTTCCATATTCAGCAATTAGTCTTTAACATAAACACATTACGAACCAAACTGATATAACAAGTAAGAAGATACATATTTTATAATGTTTATTTACATCGCAGTAAATAAACAGAATTAGCCCTAAATGGTGAAGTCGTATATCAAGCAAATAGCGTGATTTCCTCATTAGCGTCACATTTCTCATCGTCACATTAACAGCCTTTAGTAGTCCACTGCTGGATATAGGCCTAAAGAGTAGCCTAAAGGAGGTTTTGTCCTATTATACCAAGCTAGCCAGACAGGTTGGTATAGGGTTTGTGTCAAGTTTTCTTTCTCTTTAGAGTGCTGTTGTCTTGTGCAGTTTGCTCCCTTTGTCGACTCTAGATGGCCCGAGGTATGTCGGGGCACCAGGGATTTCCTTTCTAGGGTATACCTGGTTCCCCGGCTATTAGTACCTGAGACGGCGTGCGGTTTTAGTCGGTTCGAGTCCGACATGCCACCGATAGATGGTATCTGAGGGGATTTCCGCACGGAAAAAAAAAGGGGGTGGTGACGCTCCGTATTCTTGATTCGTCACTACATGGATAATTGCATACTAATAAACAAATGGGTGATATACTAATAAAAATGGGTGAGGAAATATGTTTTGATTATTTACAAAAATCCTCTGAGAATGATGAGCTTGAAGCTAATGGCAGTAGTAGTGTTTTAGTAACAGAAACAAATGTAGATGACATTCCTAGTGGTTCATCTTGTGAGGATGATATTCCTAGTGGTAGTAGAGTTTATTTTATCCAACAAAAGTACTATCCCCAAGAGATTTTCTAATTGAATGACAAAATCTACAAGCTTCGGGCATGCACGTAGGAATACAAATTGTTTTCATATTCTATTCATAATATCCGTCGCCATTTATGTTTTACTGCTGAATAAAAGCGTCAGACATTTTCGTCTAAATTAAATAGTATCACAACATTTGACACAAGGAATGACTTGGAGTTAAAAGAGAATACAAATAATACGTTAAGATGTGACAATTCAAACTATTTAAAAATGTAGAGTCTATTGGAAAGACGAGAATAACTAACTCTCGTATTTTCAATATCTATCAGCCTAAACACATTGTTACACAAAGCTGAGGTGGAAACATCAAATATTGACAGTCGAGACGCAATTCTTCCTTACATAACATAGTTAGTTGGCCCAGTGACGAGCCTTGGGGCACCCCTCCCTCTCGTAATTGGTAAATTGAGTTGCCTCCTCAGCTCGTGTAAGTAGCCCTGATGTAATATTATTGATAAAGTTAGTGCTTGCTTTAGTTGTTGAATATAAATGGATTGGTAGTTGCTTTAAACCAAAAACTACTTTATGGTCATTTTGGTTTTTTTCTTTGTTATTTTTTTTTATGTGACGAGCGGGTCATCTGATGGAAATTGGCCATCGCCGCCCATGAACGTCTGCATTTCAGAAGTCACGGAGTACGCTCTTTTCTTGAAGGTTTGAATTTTCTTGGTTTTTAACAGAATCAGTTAAAATATTAAGTAAATATACACATAGACATACGTCTTTATTCCATATTTTTTCTAATTATGTATAATTTTAGACTCTCATAAGTATCATAGGGGTAAACTTTTTTTACGGGGGGACTGCTTGCCGCGCCATACATAATTGAAGAAACTAAACCCCGGGGCGAGATGCCGCCTTAGGCGACACCCGACCGCACCGGCCGCATTGTCACCTGTCTCGGGTCGCTTGCAGCACCCACATCGCCCCAATATGTAGCTGCAGCGACCTATAGGCGGCGATCTGGGAGCTCGGGACCTCTGCCGCGTCCAAGGGGGCAACAACCCTCTAGCCGTAAATCAGTCACTTTGCGAATAAATAGAATAATTGGGATAGGTAGAAAGGAAAGGTAGATAACAGGTGCAGATAATGGTAGAAAAGGAATATTGCTTATACTGACAGATTGGAGACTGTAAACTATAGCTGAAGTAAGTCATGGCCGCATATCTGAATTAGTCCGAGCCCTATTACTAAGTAAATTTACTAAGTAAATTTAATCTATCTATTAGAAATTAAATTCTTAGAAATGTGAATGTAAGTTTGGTTGTTTGTTACGCTTCCGCGCCTAAACCACTAAATCGATTTTAAAAATTCTTTCATCTATGAAAAGCTACATTATCAGCGAGTAACATAGGGTTCATTTTACCGAGATTATCGACATACACGAGGGTGGATTTGCGGGTAAAAGCTAGTGTCATATAAATGCACACTTATAGATAATAATAGATCTTTACCTGTGAAGTTGGAGATTTTTAAAAACAGGATTTCGAGGTGATTGGCGCACAATTCCAAGTTCAAATAAATTTTATGTTAATTTTCGCATAAAAGTTAAAGATTATTAATATTTTTTTTAAATAAATTCGAACAAAATAGGCATTAAGTCGCGTGACAGCGAACACTAATCAGAAAGTGTTACGTCACGCCACGCAAAACATCATTGTTGTTGTTGACGCTTTCATACAACAGAGTTACTCCTTAATGTTTTTCGTTTTTAGCATATTTTCTTACCTTAATACAGTTTCAGTTGACACTGGACATGTATGTAAACAGTTTTGTTTAGCAGACTGTGACGTCATTCAAGACTCCATGACAATATTCAGCGTTTTCAAGGGAAATTTTAATATTTTTTTTAAATACAAAATACGTAATGTAAATATTGCTTTTTCTTTAAAATATAGGTTTTTTGGGATAAAATAGATATTAAAGTATATAATTAACCAAGTTTTCAAATTGAGCCAACTAGCCTATTACGCACATAACAAATATGTAAAACCTTTTTATGCAAATGCTAATTAAATACATAAAGACACATTCACAAACAAAAGACAAAACTATGCTATGAAATACGCTTTACATAAATATTAATATTGGCGCGTTCTTTTAAAATTAATAATTTATTCCGTTTTAATAATTAATAATTTATTCGTCGTTTTGCATCGTAGTGAATCTTTTAGCTTAAAATAAAACACAACTATGGTGGGCACTGAAAATCAGGACTGTAGTGGGTTACGTCCATCGCAGTATTTTCTGAGTCCATATATTTGTAGGGCATGGTGTAAAACCCTGTTTATATGATAATAATAATAAAATATTGTACCACATTCACACAACTCAAAAGGCGGTAACACACTTATGGCTCTGGAGTTATAGGTGTTCATTTGCGGCGGTAGTCACGTAGACCGTAGACATAGGTAGACCCGTCTGCTCGCTTGCCTCAGATATCATAAAAAAAACGTCTCGGTGGTGTAGTGGGAGCGTATGCGACTGATTTGCTGAGGTCTTGGGTTCGATACAAACGTTTGTATGATCGGACCAAATGTTTGTATGATCTGTAAATATTTGTTTCGGAGTATATAGTATACAATTATTCTATCAGTCAATCTAGCTTTCATAGTATATAGCTCTGGTTAGTTTGAGGCTTGATAGCTTTATGTGTCAGATGCTCGTATTATTATTATTATTTAAAAGAAATTGCGCACCTTATAGGTACCGTTACTAATTAGAATTAGTCAGATTATCTTTCAAACAAATCAAAAGAAGGTTACAAGACCTTTTTTTTTTTTTTTTTTTTTTTTTTTTCCGTGCGGAAATCCCCTCGGATACCACCCGTGGGTGGCATGTCGGACTCGAACCGACTAAAACCGCACGCCTTCGCCGGGTACTAATAGCCGGGGAACCAGGTATACCCTAGAAAGGAAGGCCCTGGTGCCCCGACATACCTCGGGTCATCTACAGACGTCCCGCCCCGCCCCGTGTGGGAACCCCATGTTCCCTGTGCTCCCTGGAAGCGAGCGCGCTTCGCAACGCGCTCGCCGCCACCCCGGCCTGCTTCTGCTAGGGTGACAGATGGCCTCACCTGTCACCCCCAGGCCTGCGCTTATGGAGGACGAAGGTCGTTCTGCGACCTCCGGCGCCTGAGTCGCCTGCGCTGCCTGGCCCGTGCCCGGGCCTGGCGGGCCGGGAGAGTTCTAAACCTCTCCCGGTCCCGCTCCGCCGTCTCCTTCGCGAGCATAACTTGCTCGCAGAAGGAGACGGCAGAGTTCCACGCACTCTCGCTCCGCACGATAGCCGCAATCAGGCTATCGAGCGAGAGAACTCCCACTCCGATGGCCGCCACGAGGTCTCGCCTCTGCTCAACCCACGCCGGGCACTCTGCCAGCGTGTGGAGAGCCGTGTCCACGGTCTGGCCATCGCAGTGGTGGCACTCAGGCGTTGGCTCCTTGCGGATCAGACACAGGTGATCTCCGAAACATCCCTTCCCAGTGATCACCTGCGTCAATCGGTATGAGAGGGTCCCGTGACGCCTCTCGAGCCAATCCTCCATAACGGGTCTTACCGCCGCAATGACGGCGTGCCCGGCGCTCGGTTGCCCGAGTCGTTCCCTCCACTCCCCTATGGTGACCTGGCGGAGTTGGGATTTCCGGTCATCGATTTCTCGAATCTCGGGGCATCGACCCAACTCCTGCGCCTCCTTGCGCCACTGATACAGTGCCGCAAGGGCTCTCGCCTCCAGGTCCCACGGTGGAGTTCCGGCCAGGAGACTCGCTGCCTCAAAGGAGATCGTGCGGTACCCCCTCTACTTAAAGCTTTTATTATTTGACTAGCTATTGCCCCCGACTCCGCCGTCGGTTATTGCGGTTAAAAGTAAGTAATGAGTTCCGGAATAAAAACTATCCTATGTCCTTTCCTAAAACTCGAACTATCTCTATACCAAAATTTCATCTAAATCGGTTCAGCGGTTTAAGCGTGAAGAGATAACAGATAGACAGGCAGACAGACAGACACACTTTCGCATTTCACATCACATCAACAGCCTATAACAGTCCACTGCTGCACATAGACCTCTCCTTAGAAAGGAGGTTTTGGCCTACTATACCACGCTGGCCAGACGGCTTGGTACAGGGTTTGTTTCAAGTTTTCCTTCTCTTTGCAGTGCTGTTGTCCCGCGTAATTTGCTCCCTTAGTCGGCTCTTACGACACCCACGGGATGAATAGGGGTGGTGACATTACGTATTCTTAATCCGTCACCACACGGACATTTTACGGACGGTTTCGCATTTATAATATTAGTATAGATTATTTATGTTAGTAGCAATCTCTGCTATGGTCTCAACTGTAGATCGAATATCAAAGGCATCAATATCAGTCTGTTATTGAAACTGTTCATAGCGTATATACGTATATATTAACCTTTGAGATTTCCTGCACAGTGTCCGTCCTGTCTTTGACATGCTAAACTAATGACGCGCCAACTGGCACCTCGCAGACGTGGCGTGAATTGATGTCGTCACCCGAGTATTGGATAAATGCTTTGGAACCTTTTGATAGAAGGTGCATTTTGTGTTTAAAACTGGTTAAATTTTAACAACAATTTTGGTAAGTCTTAATTTTTACGAATGTATTGTTATTTTTTCTTTACTGCCTGTTGCCTGTTCATCTATATTCACTGGATCTTGCTCAAGAGATCATCTGGCGGTCAAATTTCGATCGTTTGTGACTCCTGAGTTGCAGACGTTCATGGAAGGTGATAGTCACTTTCCATCAGGTGACCCGTCTGCTCGTCTGCCCCCTCTAACATAAAAAAACCTACTTGACTACTATAACTTTAGCTATCATATATATATACTTTTGTACCACGACAGGTAAATAAAAACTGCTAAGTTTCATGTACATCTCCATAGAGTTTTAAAGGAAAATTCATTCTGATTGTAAAATTAGCCTAAGTTACTTACGTAATCATATATCTGCCGGAAAAAGTCCACCCG